TGGGAAATGCAGGGGTGTAGGGCAGGGGTTGGGTCTGGGTGGGAATTTCTTCAAAGGGGCAGTGTGAATTTGATGGGCTAAATGGCCTGCTTCCATGCTGTATAGATTCTGTTCTGCTCACATTCACAAACTATTTCTCTCCTCACCCAAAAATAAAACAAAGAACTCCAGAAGATGGAGAACCGAAACACACAAAAACACAAATGGCTGGAGAAAATCAGCAGGTCTGGCAACATCTGTGGACAGCAATCAAAGCTAACGTTTCAAGTCCAGTGACCCTTTATTGTGTGTCTCTCAAAACCCATAATGACCATTCCTAATTGCTCTTGTGAAGATGATTGTGAGACACCTCTTTGATAACTGAGTGTCACATTTCAGTCATTTGAGAGGTTCAGAGTGAACCACGTTGCTGTGGGTCTGTGTTCACATATAACCCAGACTGAGTGAGGATTGGGAAACTGACTTTGTTTTATGACAGTCCGGTAGTTCTATGATCACCGTCAATGTTCGCAGGCGCGTTATTTAAATAGCTGAAATTAAACTCCCTAGCTGCGACACTGGAATTTGAATTCATGTCTGTGATCATTAGACAAGATGTCTGGATTATTAGTTCCAAAGCATAACCACTATGCAACCATTATTGATGTCTAATTTATATTTGGATTTCATCTAATTTGCACTTAGAAAAAAATCTATTGAAATGTAAAGTAGATTGAATTCATCCCATTTCATTTTGACTCAAACTTTCAATTGATAAATTAATCTGTTTGAGGTTTTGTTGTTTTCATGAAAAGCTGAGATGTTGAGCCGCACTTACATCTGATGTTGTTTATTAAACTGTGATAGTGACTGGCTACTTGTCTCCATCCTTGCATGTGTAAGTGAGTGTACTGGAATTGTGTTGAAGGGACTGAGAGAGCATGACAGGTAGATAACTCAATCTGTGAAGTTTTGCCACTGCTATCACGGGAATTTCTGTTGAAATGTGCTGCCTGTTGAGATAAGGTGCTAAGAAGGAGATCAATAATGTGACAGGTCAACAGCAAGACTCACAATATCTCCCTCAGCCCAGCCTCAAAGGTCATTGCAAGATTGGAACATTCTCCCTGGATTACTGCTGCAGTAATATAATTCTTACATCACTGTACCTACCCCCAGTATATTGTATCACCACAGCATCTCTCCAGGAATTAGCATCTTTGTACTGACGTCACAGCCACAGTCTGAATGCATTCTCACCCTGGAGTCTTTCCGTCTCACTCACCCACTCACACTGAATACGGAATCAGAGAAGCAAAATTCAGGAGATGGAACAGATTGGGAATGAAGGAGCAAGAACATGTGTCAAAAAACAGCTACAGAATTTTTTTAAAAAAGTACTACGTGATAAAGGTCTCAAAATTTGGGTAAGTCTTTCAGGCACTAGCTGGCCTATTAAATCCCAGTGGGGAAGACGAAATGCCACTGTGTCACCCTCAAGAAACACCATTCGAAATGATGATCTGAACATTACAATGTTGCTGTCTGTGAGACTGTGTTGCGCACAGGTTGCTGGTGTGTTTCCTTCATTACAAAGTTCAAGGAGTACTTAATTGAGTGTGAAGCACTTTGGGATATTCTGTAACAGTAATAGAGGAGCTGGTCTCACTGGATCCAGCCAATGTTTCAGACACGTTTCTGACATTGCAAAATATAGAATAGTCGTAAGATTTACTTCAAAGACTTACATTATTGTTATAACAGATTACTAATTGACCTGGAGAAGAATTCCCTCTGACAAACTACACAATTTGCAATAAAAGATCCAATTCAATTATTGCTGAAACATGTGGAGGATTATTAACTCAGGGCTTTTCGCCTCTAATAATAATGTCAGAATCAATTACTGGGAGGAAATGCTTAAAGTAATGACAGGACAATTATTATTTAGAAACAATTGCAAATTTACATCTCAATGACTTTATTGCTGGATAATTTAGGGGGCTGAAACCTCATCAAATCATACAGTCAGATACTGTGAGGTTACAAAATCTACAAGAATCCAATCAGATATGTTTTGGCTGAAATCTGAACTTCAAAAAATAAAATGTTTCACAGAAGCCCCAAAAAGAGTGATAATCTTTTATTCATTAACAGAATGAGGGTGTCGCTGGCTGGGCAGCATTTATTGCCCATTCCTAATTGCCCAGGGGGCAGTTGAAAGTCAATCACATTGCTGTGGGTCTGGAGTCACATATAGGCCAGACCAGGTAAGGATGGCAGTTTCCTTCGCTAAAGGACATTCGTGAGCCAGATGGGTTTTTCTTGACAATGGATTCATGGTCATCATTAGATTCTTAATTGCAGATATTTTATTGAATTAAAATTCCATCATCTGCTGTGATGGGATTCGAATCCGGGTCCCCAGAATGTTACCTTGGTCTCTGGATTAACAGTCCAGCAAAAATACCACTCGGCCATTGCCTCCCCTAATCATTATAAGCATCAGTGACAAGAAACAGAATTGGACAGATTCCCCACTTGAGATATAATTCCAGCTTCTCTGGACGGTCCATATAAACTGAATGTCTTCATCCTTGAAGCTATTACACTAACTAACCTCAGCAACCTCTCCAAGACAAAAAAGCTATCAACCATAGGAACAGATCTCGACCATTCAGACATTGGTTCTGTTCCTTCATTCAATGAGATCCTTGATGATCTGAAAATCCTGAACTCTACTTCCTGCCTTTTCCCCAAAGCCTTTAATTCCCTTACTGATTAGCAATCTGTCTGTCTCAGCCTTGAATATACTTAATCACCTAACCACTAGAGCCCTGTATGGTAAAAAAAATTCCACACATTGGGTGTGGAAAAGATTCTCCTAATCTCAGTTTTAGATAGGCATTTCCTTAATCTGAGATTATGCCCTCTGGTCCACAACTCTCCCACAAGGTGTAGCAACCTCTCCATATCTATCTGTTAAACTTCCTCAGAATTCATGTTTCAATAAGGTCTTCTCTCATTCTTCTAAACTCTAATACTGGCAATCAACCTAGTCACCCTTCTCTGAACAGCCTGCAATGCCATTATCTTACTTTCACGAAGGAGCAAAACAGTTCACAGTATTGAAGATGTGAATTGATTCGTGCCTTGTATAGTTTCAGGAAGACCTCCCATTCTTGCATTCCATTCCCTTTTAAATAAAGGCCAAACTTCCATTTGCTGTCTCTACTGCCTGATGAACTTGGATGCTAGCTTTCTGTGATTCATGCACAATGACCCCCAGGTCCCTCTGTGGTGTGTTTTCTATGGTTTCTATCTCCTTTTAAATAGCATACAGTTCTTCTATGAGTCCTGACAAAGTGCATAGCCTCATAATAGCCCACATTATATTTCATCTGCAAAGTGCGTGCTCACTCACTTGACCCCTCTATGTCCCTCTGCAGGCTCTTTATATCCTGTACACTACCTGCCCTCCCAACTATTTCTGTGTCATCCATAAACTTGGAAATAGTGCATCCACTTCCATCATCTGAGTAATTGATATATATTGTGGAAAGTAAGAGCCTCAGTGCTGATCTTTGTGAAACTCCACTAGTTACGGCTTGCCATTCTTATGTCAACTCTCTGTCTTCCGTTAGTTAGTCACTCTCATATTCATGCTACTGTGCTACAACCAACACAATGGATTGTTATCATATTAATTACCCTCATGTGTTGTACCTTCCCAAGCACCTTTTGGAAATCTAACTGTTTTATGTTACTGATTCACCTTTGTCTATCCTGCTTATTACCTCAGCAAAGAATCCAAACAAATTTTGTCAGGCATGATTTCTCCTTCAAAAAGCCATGTTGACTCTGCTTGATTATATTGTATGCTTCTAAATGTGATGCAATTGCATCCTTTATAACAGACTCCAATATTTTTCCAATGGCAGATGTTAAGCTAATTCCCTCCCTCCCTTTTCAAATAAGGACAGTTTGCAATGGCAGTTTTCCAGCCGTCTGGGACTTTTTTGACCTATTAGGATTCTCACAACATTACTACCGACACATTCATTATCTCTGTAGCTGCTTCCTTTAACATCCAATTATACCAACCCTCAGGGCCAGGGGGTTTATTGGCATTTCAATCCTTAGTTCCTCTACATTGCCCTCATACTTCAATTATTCCTTTTTTTTTGTCACCTTTGTTGGTTTATAAAACTTTCCCAATCCTCTGATTTACTGCTAATCTTTGCCAAGTTGTTTGATGTTTTATTTATTCCTTAACTTTCTTTCCTTGTGGTCCCTCACTTCCTCAGTTAGCAATGGTTGGTTTATCTGCTTCCTGAATCCTACTTCCTCACTCGGGTATTTCTTTGCTGTGAGCCATGAACTACTTTCTTAAATATCCTCAACTGTCTTTTCTGCTAAACACTTTTCCTAGTCCACTCCAAGTAACTCTGTCCTCATCCTTATGTAATTAGCCTTATTTAAGCTCTGCATCATTGTTTCCCAACCCAAATTTCTCACTCTCAAACTGAGTGCTAAATTCCACCATATTATGCTCACTGTTCCTACAGGGATTTCTAACTCTGAGATAATTTATTATACTTTCCACTTTACACATTACCACATCTAAATTGTTGGATACATATTGTTCTCAGATATTGTCTTGAATGCAGTCTATGAACTCTTCCTCATGGCTATCTCTGCAGCTTGATTTTCCCAATCTACATGAGATTAAAATCATTTATGATTAATGTACTGCCCTTTTCACATGTCCCATTCATCTATCCCTAGTAATGCAGTACCAAAATTTTATAATATTTTAGTGTATTACAATATTTTGTCTTGGGTCTGTCTACTGACTTAGCATTTTTTATCACTACTTCCTTGCTTTTGTTCTCATTGAATCTGATAATGAATCCAATGCAGGAGTGTGAACAGAATTCACTTTGATAAAGGCTATTCAGTGAGCCTCTGTTCACAGTGCCACACACAACAGAAGCTGCTTCAGAAAGGGTTGTACTCACCAGAGTGCAGTACATCTCAGGGGTCTCTCCACACGTGCTGTTGGGGGGATCCAGACTGATCTTAAGGAACCTGGTGAGCAAGGTGGCCTCAGGTTGGCAGGCCATGTAATCCCAACTCATCCCTTGGTCCCAGTGGACCCGGGTCTTACACAGGTCATAGTGACCCCAGGAAGGGAAGTGCTGTGCAGAGAGAGACAGGGTCACATAGAGAGTGTGAAGGGGCAGCAGGCTGGATAGACGCATTGCTCCAACTATACCCTTCTTAGAAAGGAGGGAATCTCAGTGTGTCTGAACCTGATTCAGCATGTAACCATTCTCACAGGGTTGTCTGTTAGAAAGAAGTGACCTCAATCTATCTGGGATTGTTTCAAGAAATCACTTAATACAGTTTACTCAGACAAAAGGTTATTTCAGTCTGCGCATATGTTCCAAGAGTTTAAATTCCTGTTGTTTTTCCCAATGTTCACGTTAATATGCTGCGTTTTGGATTCCAACTGCTTTTCCCCAGTTTAGTGTTGATAACCTGGATGTTAGGATATTGGTTGATTTTCTCAGTGTTGATTATGTATTCCGGATATTTGGTTTCCAACTGTTTTCTTTTCTCCCTAACATTAGCATCAATCATCCAGATGTTAGGATTCCAGTCATTTATTTCAGTCTTTGCTGCTGATATTCCAGGTGTTACAATTCCAGCTGCTTATACCAGTGTTGGTGCAGATGTTCTGGGACTTAGGATTCAGGCTGTCTTTCCCAGCTGTTTACTGTGTCAGGCAGATGACCAATCAGTACTCAAAGCCAACATGGTGACTGCTGCCTGACCAGACACTGTTTCCCATCGATCATCTCTTCCTTCTGGTTCCCTGTTGGGAAACAAATCAAATCAATGGATTTCAGAACAGATACCGCAGACCGTCGACCCTTGCTTAACCAACCTCAGACTTGATCTACCAGCAGCTGTGACGTTGCACAGAAATAATGTGATTCACAGCAGCCAATGAGGGAGGAATGAATGAAACAAATCAAAATCCCAAATGAGACAAAAGGCCAGTAAGTCCATTTTATTTAATGATGTTGCTTTGGAATAAATATTGGACCAGATACTGGGGAGAATTCTCCTGTTGCTCTTCACTATAGTGGCTGTGGGATCATTTACATCCGTTTTTATTCAGACAAAGCTTTAGTCTCAGCTGAAATATTTCAAAATTGACAGTGCAATGTTAAATCAATTCTACATCTCTAACAGGGTAGTGCCTGCTCAGCACTGCCCACTTGAATTTGTATTGCTTTTCTGCGGATATAAAGAATATAGGAGGAAGAGTAAGCCATTCTGCCTGTTGAGTCTACTCCATTATTCAAGATGATCATGGCTGATCATCTAACTCAGTAGCCTGCTGCCGCTTTCTCTCCAGCCTCTTTGATCCATTTAGTCCTAAGAACAGCATCTACTTCCTTCATGGCAATTTTCAATGTTTTGACCTCAACTCCTGTAGCAGTTTCCTGAGCTCCTCTGACAGTGCAGCACTCCCTCAGTACTGATTCTCTTACAGTGTGGCACTCGCCCAGTAGTGACCATCCAACAGTGCAGCACTCCATCAGCACTGACCCTCTGACAGTGCAGCATTCCCTTACCACTGAACCTCTGACAGTGCAGCAATCTGTCAGTAATGACCCTCTGACAGTGTGGCTCTCTCTCAGTACTGACCCTTCAATAGTAGAGTATTCCTTCAGCACTGACCCTTTGACACTGCAGCCCTCCCTCAGTACTGACCTTGGGTCAGTGCAGCACATACCGAGTACTGATAATAGAGCACTTACTGAGTTTGGTCACTTTGACACTGCAACACTCACTGTCTTTCTCTTTCCTTCTGTTAGTGCAACACCTCCTCAGTACTGTCAGGTTGGATTCTGCCTTTGAGTCTCTGGTTTGGGATTGAAACATACCTTTCAGGAGATAGCCGAAGGAACTGCTAAAAAAAACAAAAACTGTTCGCTTTCCTCAATCGTCTCTCCTCAACATCAGCAATAATCCATACTGGAAGTAGGGAAATTCTCAGTTTGAGTCGTAAAATGTTTAGTGGCCCAAAACACAGCCTATTTTGCAACATAAGATATTACTCTGAGCTGTGAATAACGTGCAGAATAGTAACTCAGATATTTATACCAGATTCTTTAGTATAAATATGACAAGATTTTATAAATTTCTTCACCATAAGCAGAAATAGTCTCCGGATTTCTCATTTGCTCCGGTGCAATTCTACTCCCCTTCAGCATGATCGTCACAGTCTGAATCACATTCTGTGCACATCGTCACTACTGCAGATCCCCACCACACACACTCACCATCTCCAGTCAAACTACTCACACACACTCCCTACATTGAAATTCGTCAGTGTGCACCCACCATCTCCAAATTCCTCCACATGTTCTTACCATCTCCAGTCAAAGTGTTAGCACACACTCATCACCTCCAGTTAAACTCTAAAAACACTCTCACCATTGGCGCTCAGGCCCCAACACACACTCACCATCTCTCACTTGAATATTCAACAACAGCTTGCATTTAAATTGCGTCTTTAACATAATAAAAGGTCTCAAGGCTTCTTCTGTCTATGTGATCTGACAATAATTGAGCCAAAGATGGAGATATCAGGATGTAGCTCAAATGTGCATTTTCGAGGAGGGGTGGAGTGAGAGCTACAGAAACATTAGGTTTTGAAGGGACATTCCAGACTTTAGTGCTGAGTCTGCTGCAAGCAGGATCTTGAGTGGTGGAGAGAAAGGAGTGAACATGGATAGGCAGACAGAGACAGAGGAGCCTTGAGACAGAGAGGGCAGTAGGCCAGGAGAAGTTTACAGAGACAGGAAGGAGAGCAAGTGCTGGTGGATGCGACTGAAATAAAAAGGGCTACATGCTGAATGAGGTTGAAGAGATACAGAGAGATACAGGCATTGGAAGAGATAAGAGAGTGGGTCAAGTGTTTAGTCATAGCTTATATAGGAAGCAGTGTATTGTCTAAAGAAGTTTGAAGAGGTGGGGAGGGTTGAGGGGCTGGAGGAGGTTACAGGGATTCAGTCTAGGGTTAGAGAAGGTTACAGAGATGAGAAGAATGCAAATGTCCAAGCAGTCTGCACAAATAGGTGGAATATTGGGTCTAGATTTTCTCAATCCCAGACATAATTGGAGTTTCATGTGGTTGCAATATTTTCTGCCTAGTTTAGTGGGGATTTCTTATTAGTTTCACCTTAACTTCACAGAGCGCTGATCAATATAAATAATTTCACCTTCAGAACAGGCTAATTGGATTTGACGTTAAAGACAGCTTCAAGCTGAGGGCAGTTTTAATCTTGCTCAGTTTGTGGTTCGGCAATGTCAGCTCATTTAATACCCTCGCACTGGAAACTCTGTGATTTCAACATTGAATGAAATGTTAGAGAGAGTTAATTTGATGCCAGACAGGAGCATTAAATACCTAACAGCAAAGCAGAACAATTCCAAAATCTGGCTGTTCATCAAAAACTCATTTCCAGGAACGCTGATTTATGGCTTGTGTAATTCCACTGTTTGTGTTTTCAGGGATATTTCATTATTGGCTGTTAAATGAAGGAAGTTTCTCCAGGGTCTGGAATTGATTCTCAAGTTGGACAATGAACGACTGAGCGAATGTCGACACTCTCCAAGACTGGCTGTGGCCCCAGAGTGAGAATGGGCTGGACCGTCCGGAAGCACTGTTGTGTCCCGGCTCAGGCCGGGTGAGGCGAACAGCCGACGCTTTTCAGTGTCCTCACACCTCCCACCCAGGGGAAATGGGAATGTGAGGTGTTAAGTGTTGGAAATAGTATCCGGAACGGAAGATAAATCGCCTGCACTGCGCATACATATGCGCTATCATATACAATACATCTGTATAAAATGCATACATTTGGTATTGCATGGGCAGACATTTCCTTCAAATTGGTATCTACAAGGTGAAAGCTATTACTTCTGACCCCACCACAAAGTCGCTCACTCGCCTTGAATCCATTTCTCTCTACTAACTGTAGTTAGTATAATGCACTATATCCCCCTATTCTGCACACCCCTGAACACCATGGGCAATTTAGCACGGCCAATCCAACTGGCCTGCACACCGTCGGACTGCGGGAGGAAACCCATGCAGGCAGAAGGAGAATATGCAAAGTCCACGCAGCCAGTCGCCCTCATTTGGGATCGAACACGGGTTCCTACTGACTCTAAAATAGATTGCATATTCCACTTCATCGGCATTGGTCAGCTCTGAATGTTGTGGTACAGGGGTAACATTGCTGGTTTAATCACTCCACAGCCACAAACTCTGGGATGACACGACCAGAATCCCTCCGGGGCCGCTCGTAGACTTTACATCAATCAGTTAAAATCAGGGCTTTTTTTTAGAAAAAGAACAGAAAAAAAAACTGACCTTAGCAAAAATTGTTTTGGAGTCGTCAGCAATTGCTACACTAAGCAATCTACTACACTACAGTCTTGGAAATCTGCCATCCTTACGTGGTGTGAGCTATTTGTGACTCCAAACCACACAGTAATGTGGTTGCTCTGAAATGCTGAGCAAGCCATTCAGTTCATGAGCAATTAAGGACTGGACTCGGCAACAGCGCCTGTGTCCCAAGGAATGACCTTTTTTTTGAAAAAAAAAAGACCAGCAGGTTGTTGTACAACTAGATTATCCATCGATAAATATTGTAGAAAGTACCTTCTGTGGAATCTCCATATCTCCGCCAGTGCTTCCCAGTTGCCATAGGGGCTGGCGGAGAACAGGAGTTGAACGCTGAGGAAGAGGTGATGAAAAGGCATGTTTTAGGGCGTTCACGGGTTTACTTTGTCAGCTACAACTGGGCATCAAAGAATTGTCCAGCAGGTCACACCCATCAAACCCTGACATTGAAGGGGTCCTTCGCAATGTTACCAGTCAGCCCAAAACCCACCACTCGCTGTCATAGATGTCAGAAACCCAACATTCGATGGAGGTTACGACATGCAGTTTTGAAGCCTTGATCTTCACAATTGCCACATTTTCTTCAAGGTCAATTATGGGATTTATCAGCCCTCTCAGACGCCATTAACCGGAGTGAAGGGCTGGGGGTGGGCTGGTGGGGACCATCGAACACTATAATTCTATAATTCTCAAATCTCCCAGACAATTCACAAATGTCCCATATTATTCTCAAATCTCCCATACAATTCCCAACTCCCCCACACGATTCTTAAA